AAGCAGGGAGGTAGCCAGTAGCCTCTCCTTAACAGCCGTGCTGCTGACGCTCCGAGTCGCACTGCTGCGCGGTCGCACAGCACAGCCTGCATCCGGAACGCCACCCGTCGGCTAGGAGAGTGTTTCCAGTGAAGCATCCCTCTTGTTTTTACTGGCTAGCAGGAAAGCCTACAAGCACAAATGGCTGCACACTGTTACCTTAGTTGCCCCTTTAGGGCTCACTTGAATTATTGCTCACGAGCTTCCTTGGTGTTCAACCGGATGACCGGGAAGAGCAACTCACAACCAGTTCAATAGAAATCTTCAGTAGGCTGGAAAAGAAATCACGTTGTTTTCTAGATCACCCTGTGGAGTTTGTATGTGCGTGTGTTTTGCATGTCCTGCTTCCCAGTAGCCTTTCTGCATTTTGAGTAGGAAGCGGTACCCAAAATGAAAATCGATACCCCGAGCAGTGCAGTGCAGAGAAAACGGACTCTGTTACAGCTGTGACTATGCCTCCGTGATTCCACCTTCTGGCAGGCTCCTTCTTTAGGCTGGAATATGGCCGATTTTAAGCAACTCTGCAATTAAAAGTTGGCAGCTGTTAGTTATGGCTGTTTACATTGTGAAAAACCAGGCAGCTGGAGCTCGCTCACGTCAGGTGGGATTTCGCAGAGGTGAGGAGCAGCGGTTTCAAGCTGGCACGCGGCAGATCCGTAGGAATGCATGGTTTTGGTGTCGTATTCCCCAATCTCACGGCATGTTGTGCAACTGCTATGGGCACCAGCCACTTGAAACGCTGTACTTCTATAAAAGGTTTGCTTAGATGAACAGAACTTTCCCTTTCACGTCCCATGAAGCTGGAACTGCTTGGCTTTGCTGCCTGAAACCAGCAAAAACCCACAGGTCTGGCTTTTACACGAGAAGCCAGAATCTCAAGGTACCCAGGATCAGTTTAGACACTGTAGTGTCCAGCAGCTAACATCCTCATTCGGATGGATGGCACAAGTTTGCTATGATACAAAAAAATCCAGGCAGCAGTTCTCAGGGAAGCAGCATCATTTCTGCAGCGAGTTCCTTTTCCCTGTGGAATACAGTTAAGGAAGAAGATAGGCAAGCATGGTAGGGTAGCTGAAGGGAGTTCAAGGGAGGTGGGTGTCCACTACTCACCCTCACTTTCTCCCCGCCTGAGCTGTCTCTGCTCTGAAGAGGTGTGAACAACCCTCCTCCCAAGACCTGCTAAGGCTTAGCGTGAGCAGTGCAAGACAAGAGGGCAAAATATAGCAGTTTAATTGTGGGAAATGATCTTTAAGCCATCTCCTTACTGCTTCGGCAGGGAACAGAGGCACAATAAGTAAGTTTTATGGGTTCAGTCTCTCTTAGGGAACTAATTTGTAGTTCAAAGTCTCCATTCCCATGAACAATCAAGGCAGTAAGGGAGCCACAGGTGTTTTAAAGAGAAGAAAGCAAATTCTCAAAGGTCTGAAAACAACAAAAACATTGGAGTAAGAAATATGCAAGCCTGGAATCTCTCTTAAAAATTAAACAGCTTTATTTAAATACAAAGTTACTGTAAAACATACTGTCATACCGATATATTAACTACTGTAATCAGTGTACTATTTATTAAAGCACAATACTTGTGATAAGCAGGAGGAAACGGCCTGTAGAGTTTTGTTTTGTTCTCCTGAAGTCAGACCTGGGCAACTTATAAAGTCAAACTGTATAAAAAAAAAGAGGCAGGTTAAAATCTAATTCAAAAGAGCTTTTGCTCTAAATATGCAACTCAGACATTACCATTTCTGTCTGATAGGAACAGGATATCCATTTGCCTTTTACAAAGGCAGCATAAAAGCCAGCCCAATTCAAGTCGGATTTGTACCCCACTGGCGTCGGTGGGTGGAATGCCAGCACGAAGCTATGCACCTAGGAAACCCAGTGGTTTTGCAGCTCTGTCAGTACAGAAATTCAGGTGGTTTTAATGTTTTCGCTCACCAGGATTTGAGATCCCTCACCCCAGGACGACATACATCCTTTCTGTTAGGCACACAGGACCCCCTGCAGAATTACAAAGCAGCACTAGCATGTTCAAGGTGCAAGAGTCACATCCCTGAGACAAACAGGAGTCAGCGAGTATAAATATACACGTGTAGGTATCATAGAACAAGGACGTTCAGCAATAGCAGCTTTACAGTGCAACGGAGAGGTATGGAGTTCGGCATAGGTAGGACGAGGAATGGAAAAGCCTTCCTCCTCGGGATACAGGGAAAAAGTCTCCTCACTCCAGGAACAGGTTGTTCAGGGGCCTGGAGATGGCCTCTCCTGTCCATGCCACGTTTCTGCCAACCACAAACAGTTCCCGTGGTTTCATTTGACCGCTTCCTATAAAATAACCTCTTGTCCCTTCTGTCAGTTCACCCTCGCGAAACAAAGGCAGCATCTGCAAGAAGAGTTGAACCAGGTTTCAAGGCTGATTGCCATTTGCAGGAGAGTGAAATGAAAACTGCAGGGCGAAAGAAACCTCGGCCGCTTTCCGCGGGGAGATTCGCAAACACGAGCCGAAGTTGCGTGCTGAAGGGTTTAAGCCTCCAGCATCCATATGGCTGTGCTTTATGATCGTAGCTGATCGAAGAGAAAACCCAGCAGGGAAACCTCATCCGATAAATAACCCTTCTTCCCTTTTTAAAGGCAGCCAGGGCAGCAGCGACACCATTGCTTCGTCCCACAGTGTTTGGTCAAGGAAGTGCAGCGGGGAGGAGGCTCCCTTCGTGTCCTCGGGCTCAGGAGCTGTGCGTCACGTGGCCGTTCTCTCGTTGGTGGAGCCTCATCCTCTGTATGTGTTCATAGCATGACTGGGCAAGGAACAGAGCAACCCGTTAATGAGGAGTTTTGGAATATTGGGCCAAAATTTGATCTCTTGCACACCAAGTGAAGCTGTGCTTGCCTCCGCAGGCTAAACAAAAACTTAAACATGCACATTATAAGTTAGAGGGAAACGTATTCTCTAGACCAGAAGGAAAGTGACTTGCACTGGGCAGGTAAACAGCTACCTCAGATCAAACGAGAGTGTAACGCATCGATGTCTCCACTGCTCAAGGCAGGCTGATGCAGCTTGCAGCTGCTGAAAACATTTCCTTACCTCCAGCGCTGTTAACAGGAAGTCGTACAGCCCTCCTTGATTGGTGGGGTCCATCAAGTCTCTGATCAGATGGATTTCAGCTCCCAGGTGCTGTATTCTAGGGGGGAGGGGGAAAAACGAAGTTACAAGTAGGATAAATCTCTGGGCACGGCTGTTTGTGGGTGTGTTTGAAATCGGATTATGGCGAGAAGGAGGCGTAGATCCAGAAATCCATCGCTGATTCCTTGTGCGTCGCCTTGATCTTCTGGAGGCTGACTCCCTGAGGTATCCAGCCTGACTGGATCTCAGCAAAATGCTCAATCATAAGAGAGTTTCAACTCCTCCATTTTTCACAGTCCCTTTTATTCCCCTCCTCTCCCACCTGCAGCAGAGAAAGCTGCCTACCAAACAGACCTGTATCACCCAACATGATTCTGGGGGAAAGAAAAGAAACAACATACACCAAATTCAAAAAAAGTCAAGAATTTTTACTCCAATTTGACTCAAAAGAGGTAGCATGGAGCCTCTTTGGCAGAAATGTGTTACGTTTACAGTCATTCCCACACAGGAAAAGTCTAACTACTAGATGGTCAGTGTTGAAGACTGTCCTACTCTCCGAACAATCACAGAGCCCCACTGAGAATGAAAAATAGAAGATGTATGATATGTATATCATTGGCCTTAGCAGCTTTGTGTTCCTGTTTTCTACGATAATCTGAGATGCAGGTAAGACCTCATTTCCCACGACACGCCTGAATTATCCTCTTGGATAAGAGATGGACACTCAAGAAGTCCCGAATCACGCTGTGTCCCGGCCAACACCATCACACCACAGCTGGCAGACAGTAGCACACAGAAACCCTGGTACAGCTCAGGAAAAAGCATGCTAAAACATAAACCCTGGTTTTCCATTTAAACTATCTGGCTTGGAAATGTGTCTGTCCTTTCTTTTATTGAGGTAGCACACAAGAACGGGACTGGGACATGAAAAGCTTCCACTTACTTTGCGCGGGATACAACATACATCAGCAGGGGCAACAGGTCATCCATGGGGAGCTTGTAGTCCTTCTCTACCACCCGGGACACTGTGCTCTCTATCTCCTCGTATGTCTTCTGGAGGATCACCAGCTTTTCCCGAGGATCCACTGTGGTACTGTCAGTATGAAAACAGCCATGTCAGAAATGTATCTGCTACGCAGCTAAAGAGAGAAAGCAGCAACACTAAAAACAA